GTGAATATGAAGCGAACACCAGAGGTTTGCGAAAATATCCATTTTTACGACGCTCGTCAAAGTGTCGCCACTACCTTGAAATTACCACTCTTCGAAACGTCACGCGCGTAAATTACCAAATCTCCCCATGTTCATTTTGGTGTTGGTTACATATCATATGCCTTGTAGACGACCCCCTTTTACGCCCATGAGTATTCCATAGGCATTTTATCCTTAAGGGCCACTCCTTGTACGCAAAGTGAACTCATCTCAACAGAACAGTAAATTAAACAGTCAATTCGGCTGATCCAAGGCCGTCCAATCAGTTTGCTCTTGTGTTTTCAGAGCGACCACACCTAGTGGTCGGCGAGCCTCTAAAGATCCAAATGTGTCAGGCTCGCCAACTAATGTCGTGGCAAAAATCCACGGGATGCGCTACATACGACCAGCTCGCTGACGGTCCAGTAGAATTACGCCAGCAATGCCAACAGAATCCGTCAGCGTTGCCCCTGGAAAATCCGTCAACCCAAAGCCAATACGAACGTGCCAAGGAAGCAACAGAGGGGTCCGAACATCGTTCCCCCCGCCAGCAATGCTGACACCCCGGGGTTATTTGTATGCCCCAAACAACGACCTCTTCACGACACAAGGAATGAGCCCGCCAGATCCACGAGGTCGTCCACATGGCAGAAGGTTGCAATCTGCCAGTACTCCAAGAATAATCCGACCTTGCGGCTCGAAGACATTGGGCGATGGTGCCACACCAGATACGGCCTGTGGACTGATCGCATCACAGTCTGCCGAGTTCTGCAAACAGAACAGAAGTGGCGGGCCATCGGGCCCGAACGCGCCAAGTTCAAAAGGGTGCGTAACCCACACTGGCCTTTACTAGAAGCTCGACTTAAGAGGTGGCTGAAAAGCACAAATGGTGCTGGCTTGCCAGTCTCGACGGTTCTAATCCAGCAGCGCGCGATACTGCTAGCACCCGAGTGCAACGTGCCTAGCGAGTTCAAAGCTTCTGTTCGATGGGTTAAAAAAGCATTGCGCCGAATGGGATTCAAGTGGCGTAAGATGAGCGGCAAGTCGAAGTCGGCCAACAAGGGTGCCGCTCTGACCGCGCAATTACATTTCCCGAGGCTGTGCGACCAGTTTGGCCTGACCCTGGAGAACCTGTTCAACTTTGACGAGACCTGCGTGTACTACAGTCTCCTACCCGACCACACATTATGCATCGACCCTACTCCGGGCAAGAAGGTCAGCAAGGATCGGCTTACAGTCGCGCCGCTGGTGATTGCGGATGGCTCAAAGCTTTTCGAGCCGCTAATCATTCACAAATTTGAACGGCCCCGTTGTTTCACAAAGCAGAAATTCGACCCTGCGAAGTACTGCTACTGGCGCGCGAACAGCTCCAGATGGATGACGGCAGAGGTAAATGCCTCGCTTTCCAGCGCTTGCATGCAACGTGCCGTAATCTGTCCGATGCAAAATGAGGCGTGCGACAGTAAAAATAATCAGCTAACAAGACAATCATCCCATACGCCCCGCGCAGGGTTTTACGGCGTTCTTCGAGCACATTAACGTGTGCTGCATGGTGGAAGGACGACGCATCGCCGTCATGCCCGACAACGCGTCGAGCCACCTGCTCCAATCCCCATTCGCCATGTCAGCCGACATCTGCGGGTTTCGGACGCGCGCGCTCTCGCACGTGCGCTTCGTGTACTTGCTGCCGAACACGACCCCGTTCATTCAGCCTCTGGATCAGGGCCTCATCACAGCTCTGAAGGCACGTTATAAGGTGGAGTTGCTTCAGGTAGTTCTCGCACAGTGGCAGATCCCTGGCGTTACGGTCGCCGCCGTTCAGAAGTGGAAGCCCGAGATGTGGCAGATGGTAATCTGGGTATCGGATTCGTGCACTGGCTTGGGTACCGCGACCATCCAGAAGTGCTTCTGGAGGATGCGGATGCTGCCCGCCAGCTAGCAGCCGCTGCTACCTTTCCTCGGCGCCACTTCTGAAGAGCAAGAGCCCCGGCTAGAGCATGAGATCGATCCGGTGTAGCAGATCATGGGCGCCCTGTCATTCGGCCCGGACGATATGATTTCCACCGCTCGCTTCGTCATCGCCGATCGTGACGACGAGACGAGCGAGCCGAACGGGGTGGATCCGCTTGGCCCAGCCTAGTGGGATGCGTGGTGGGCGAATGCGCCTCCTCCCCCGGCTCCGAACGACTCAGCGCGGAACCGTCGCAATCTCTCGCGCATGGCGACAGAGATGCTATTTGGATACGCCAAGTCCATTGGGTTGGCGCCGCACGATCTACGAGTATTGTTCGACATCCGTGAACCTGCGGTTATTGATCGCGCGGAGCACGCATCCCCTCGCCTGGACACTAACAATGCGCCTAGCGCGGCGGAGGAAGAGTACCTCAGTCATGTCCGCGGAGCCACTGTAGTTATGACCGGATATCCAGACGCGGGCAAGTGGATGACCTTTGGCGCGCAGCCCGCTACCTATCGCGGGTACTAGGCGGTTAAGTGCTGTCCATGGTTAGGCGGTTAATTATGGAGTTCGGGTTTGGCGTGTGTATGTGGAGGCGCGAGAGGCCTTGTTCTCTGCCTATGACCTTAGCGACGAGGTGGTTGTGCTGTGTTGCACGGAGTTGGGTAGTGTCGGTCAACATAAGCATGGTTTTCGGTCGGAGTCTTATTTCGAGTCTAGTCTAGTGTCGAGTGCTGTCTTTGTCGAGGCAATTCTGTTTGTTGCCTGATTACAGTCCATGATTGTCACATGCGGAATCAATTAGAGTTGATACACACGTGGAGGGGCTTGCGACGTGGCTCTGTTTACTCAGTCGTAGCATACGCCAGTCAAGCCACCCATGCACAGTACACAACAAAGAAAGTCCCATTTCCTGGGGAAACCCTATAGTCCCCCTTGCCCCTACCGTACGGCCAGGACTCGTTAAAAGGGAAACCTGCCGCGTCGGCCCCCGGGTGCTAGGAGAAAATGATTTGTAGCATGTTCGCTCCTAACGAACCTCTGCGAAACAAATGCTCGGTCACGGGTTCGGGAAAAGCCGCGTTCATAAAAATGTGACGCACCATAGCCCATAGGACTTGTACAAGGGGCAAAGGACCGCGAGTGCACCTCGTTGCCACCTATTTCACCTGAATTCACGGCCGATTGGACACTCGTGGCACGCTCGGAGTGGCAGCGTACTCGGAGACTCGTGTTTCAAGATACAGCAAAGCCAGGGCTCCCTCTTAATCAGCGATATTACCTGCCAGGTGTGATCTAGCAACACTGCCGCAGACTCTGAGCAAATGCTTGGAGGAGATCGCGCGCTTTGAAGAAAATTAAGATTTGTTTTAAAACGGTCGACCATTCTTGCCCGCGATGTATGGCAGGCCCACGTTACCCAAAACCGTCAACCCGCCCCTTACTGTACCCGTTTTCGTTTTGATGCGCCGAATACCGGAAATGTAATTTTGGGTCGCTGTGAAAACATTTGACGGATCCCAATTCAATTGTTGCGCGAACATGCATTTCATGTGTCGCGACAAAAATCTGCCCGTGCCTGCCTGTCCCCTGCACCTGGCGTGAACCCACGTGTTGGAGTCGTCTGACTCTACCAAGTTTCGGGGCTTTAGCTTGGTTTTTGGGGTACCCGTCAGATCCGGGTATCTGGCCAAAGCTACCCATCAGAATATGTGTTCACCACACTGTTCTGTCAAAATTCACCCGTCGAATCCGGATTCACAACCAGTTCTGCCAAAATTCACCTGTCAGAATCGGGGTTCAAACCCTGTTTTTGGAAGAGTCCCCGTTAGAATCCGAGTTCAGTGAAAACCTCACCCGCTATTTTGTTGAAATCCGGGCGTTGTGCCCAAAACGATTGCGCGCGACTTTTTTGAATGCCTCAGCTCTTAATGTGCCGTCATTGTTTGTCGTATTACACCTTATTGGACCGTACACATGCTGCCCAAACCAGTTGTCCCGAAAAAACGTAGTGTCATCTGAACCCAACACGAAAACGGGTACAGTCCAGGGGGGGGGGGTCGACCGTTTTGGGTAATGGGGGCATGCCATACATCGCGGAAAAAAAGGGTCGACCTTTTTAAAACATTTTTTTTATATAAAACGCGCTATTTCCTCAAATGCTTGGCTAAATACACCCAGTCCGCGGTAATCTCACAACCTGAAAACTGTGTGGCAGAAGACTTTTTGTTTCCACCTTGACCATTTCTGAGTGCGTAGACAGTACCCCCTTGTTCCTATGGGCTAAGCTTGGCAGACTCCACGCGGGCAAAACTTTGAGCACCGGCTAAGTTGACGTCGGGTTTCCTGACTCGAGAAAAACTAAATCGAGCAGTAAACGTTTCGTATAGAAATCCAAGTTCAAATTGTTTTTCAAGGGTATCAGGATCTGGTCTTCAGGAGCTGCCTTCGGGGGGTGAATACCCTCTAGGCGGCACCCCCTGTGAAAATACTGGGTCCGAAAATACCGCGGGGTTGCGCGGAATTTCTGTCATGGCAGTTTTACAAAAAAAGGGGATTAGTTGTTAGGGTGCTGTTACTGAGACTCTGTGCACAATAGTCACGGTTAGCGCACCCGGAGGAAGGTTTTGTCCCGTTTTGAGCTCTAAAAGACAGTTTAGCAATCATTCTAGTTATTGCGTTTTGGATTGGATCACTTGGCACAATTTCATTGGGTCTAACGTATACAAATCGGGCTGCAAATTCGCCCACACGCGTCCTTGGCGAATTTGCAGCCCGATTTGTACACGTAAAACCCAATGAAAAAGTGCCAAGTTCTCCAATCCGAAACGCAATAACTAGAAAGAAAGTTATTTTCTCCTTAGAGCTCAAAACGGGACAAAACCCTCCTCCGGGTGCGCTAATTGTGAATTTAGTGCACAGAGTTCTAGTAACAGTAATCTCACAATTAAAAACCCAAAAAAATAAAATTCTCTGCAAGTATGGATGTCTCCGATCTGTACGGACGCGCGCTCTGCAACGAGTATCCCACGACGTTGTGTGGTGCTCGAATCACCATGTACCAACCAAGTTCGAGTGCGGCAGCCCGCTGTCGTGGCCACGGCCGGTCGATCGGTTAGTACAAGAAGGCCGCGGCCTGTGCAAGGAAGTATGTCCTTTCCTAGTAGACTAGTTTTACGCATCAAAACCTCGTCATGCACGCCGCCAGCAGCCTGGTTGGCGCGTGGCAACGCGGCGAGGGCGAGCGTGGTGGCGGCGCGGGAGGCAGGAGCATGAAGCACGGCACGGCACTGCTCGTGGCGGCGTTGCTGCTGTGCCGCGCAGCGCTACCCGTGGCGGCGGAGGCGATCCACTCGTCCCGCCGGACCACCTCCCCAGATCACGCTACGCTGCCCCGTCCGCACTGCGACGACACCACCACCTCGTCGCCGCACGGCCGCTTACTGGAGGAGCAGGGCGCAACCGTTGCACTCGCCGACGGCCTGGAACCCGTAGGCGCCGGCCAAGGACGCACCGACGCCGGTGCAGGCGCCGGCCAAGGACGCACCGACGCCGGTGCAGGCGCCGGCCAGGGACCCACCGACGCCGGTGCAGGCGCCGGCCAGGGACCCTCTGACGCTGATCGGAGCGCGGCCGCCGCTGATGCCGGCAAGAGGCATGGCGGAAGGAGCGCGGAGGCATTGTGGGGCGTGCGCATGCGCGAGCTGGTGCTGTGGCGCGCCGCCAAGTTCCAGATGAAGGCGCGCGACGCCTTGGCACACATGGCGGCCGGCAAGGCCGCGGCGGCAGTGGCGCGAGGGCGGGCTGCGGAGCTGCGGATGGCGGGGACAGGCGCGGAGGAGGCATGGCGCAACATGGCGCGCGATTGCGAGGAACAGGTGAGACCATGGCGCCTGGTTGGGGGGGAGGGGGGGGGGGAGAGAAGGACCAGGCGCCATGCCTGCACTGAACGACAACGACCATGGCGCCTGGTTGTGGGGGGGGGGGGGAGAAGGAGGTCGTTGTGGTTCAGTGCAGCAGCGTGTTAGGGCAAGTTAGGGACTCGTTTCAGCTTCCGCTCCACACGGCAGCGAGAGGGACGTTGCTCTCTCCTCGCCACTATGTGCAATCTTGGTGGAACCGAGCTGTTACTTGTGCGTGGCGTGCGGTTGGTGCGTGGCGTGGCAGATGGGCGTGGCATGGGAGAGCGTGGAGGAGGCGGCGGGCATGGTGGAGCGGGGCGACGAGGACGTGAATGTGCCGCGCATCCACCTCACCACCGCCGCCACGCTCGCCCTCGACTGCGCCGAGGGATTCGACCTCTTCGCGCCGGGCAGCTCCAGCGACGCCCGCGTGCTCGCGCTGCAGGTCAGCACCGCCCCACCCGTGCCAGGCACCACCATCGCACTGCCTGCACGCATGCCACTGGCTTTTTCCCTCTGGGCGCTGCTAGCGCCGTGCGTTCACGGTACGGTGCTGCCAGCACTCGTTCGCTGCTCTCAGCCTTCCCTGCTGCGTACATCCACCATGCCGCCCTCACCACGCCCCCCTCAGCCCTGGTAGGAATGATCGTCATACGCCCCCCCATGTGCGCAGCAAGCGGCGATGGACATGCGCGCGTCGCTGATGGAGTCGCTGGCGCAAGCGGCGGACATGGCGGACATGATCGCCGCAGGCGACGACACCACTGCCGACGCCCTGCCCTCGCCCACGCGCCGCCGCCTGCTGCAGTCCACCGCTGCCAGAGCTGATGGCTCTGCCGGCCCCACCACCACTGGCGACGGCACCGCTACTGCCGTCACCGTGGCCGACCCCCACAACTCCATTCCCGTCACCACTCCTGGCACCGACACGGCCGCCAACCACACGGCCAAGGCTGCCGCGCCCTTCAACGTCAGCGAGCACTCAACCCATCGTGGCGGCCCAAGCCCCTCCCCACCTCCTTTCCCACCTCCCTCCCCTCCTCCCCCTTCGCCTCCCCCCCCTTCCCCACCTCCCTCCCCTCCTCCCCCTTCGCCTCCCCCCCTTCCCCACCTCCCTCCCCTCCTCCCCCTTCGCCCCCCCCCCCTTCCCCACCTCCCTCCCCTCCTCCCCCTTCGCCTCCCCCCCCTTCCCCACCTCCCTCCCCTCCTCCCCCTTCTCCTCCACCTCCTTCCCCTCCTCCCTCTCCCCCTCCCCCTTCCCCTCCCCCTCCTTCCCCTCCCCCTCCTCCCCCTTCGCCCCCTCCCTCCCCGCCCCCATCGCCTCCCCCTCCTCCGCCACCACCCGCCCCGCGCATCACCCCCACTGTGACCGTGGCGAAGGATGGCTCGGGGAACTTCCTCACAGTGCAGGTGTGAGAGTGGGTGCGTGTGCGTGTGCGTCAGTAGGTGTGTGCGTGCATGCGTGGGCGTGCGCGTGCACGTGTGCGCGCGTGTGTTCGCGCGCGTGTGTGTGTGTGCGCGCGCTTGTGTGTGGGTGTGTGTGTGCACGTGCGTGTGTGTGTTTGCGTGTGTGTATGTTTGTGTGCGCGTGCGCGTGTGTGTGTGCGTGTGTGCGTGCGCGTGTGTGTGTGTGCGCGCGTGTGTGTGCCCGTGTGTGTGTGTGCGCGTGTGTGTGTGTGCGCGCGTGAGAGAGGGACTGGGGGGGGAGGGGAAGGGAAGGGCGAGATGGCAGGAAGCGAGGTGGCGAGCCATCTCTGCTCGCCTTTTCTCTCCCACGTGGTGCGTGCAGGCGGCCATCAGAGCATACCCGCCGGGCTTCAGGGGGCGGTTTGTGGTGTTTATCAACCCGGGCAACTACACTGAGAAGGTGGCCATCAACTCCACGTGCAAGAACGTGACGCTCATGGGTCTCAGCGCGGCCACCACCACCATCTCGTGGAACGACAACGTGGCTGCCGGCAACGGCATGGGCACCTTCGCTTCTGCCACTGTCGGTGAGACCCCGCTCGCACCTCATGCCGTCCGCTCCGCTACGCTGCTCTTGCCCCGCATCGCCGCCACGTCTGCCATCTTGTTGCTCGCGCGGCTTACGTCTCTTGCTCTCTGCCGAGAGGACCTTGTGGGGCTCGTACCTCGTCAGCAACCCGGTCTTGGTCGTCACGAGGTGCTTACCAGCGCTGGCGGAATTGGTGCAACAGCTTCGGCGCCTGGTAGATTGAAGAGTGGTGCGAGCGTGCCCGTGGGTGTAGGGGCAACCGTGTGTCGCCACCGCGAGTGGGAACATTCCCTCGTTGTGGGCCCCGTTGCAGTAGTGATCGATTTGGTTATCAGCCTCTTCCCGTGCCGCTGCCACAGCAGGGGATAACTGAAGCTCTCTACATCTTTCTCCCTCTCTCCCTCTCTCGATCCATCCCTCCTTCCGTTCCCCCCTCAGCCGTGGACGCCAGTGGCTTTGCAGCCTTCGGCATTCGCTTTGAGAACACGGCGGGAAAGGCAGGCAGCCAGGCAGTGGCGCTGAGGCAGACAGGGGACAACGCTGCCTTCTACGAGTGCGAGTTCATTGGCTGGCAGGTATGCTGCCGCCATGGCAGGTATGCTGCCGTCATGGCAGGGGTGGTGGCATGGCATCATGGCAAGGGTGGTGGCATGGCATCATGGCAAGGGTGGTGGCATGGCATCATGGCAAGGGTGGTGGCATGGCATCATGGCAAGGGTGGTGGCATGGCATCATGGCAAGGGTGGTGGCATGGCATCATGGCAAGGGTGGTGGCATGGCATCATGGCAAGGGTGGTGGCATGGCATCATGGCAAGGGTGGTGGCATGGCATCATGGCAAGGGTGGTGGCATGGCATCATGGCAAGGGTGGTGGCATGGCATCATGGCAAGGGTGGTGGCATGGCATCATGGCAAGGGTGGTGGCATGGCATCATGGCAAGGGTGGTGGCATGGCATCATGGCAAGGGTGGTGGCATGGCATCATGGCAAGGGTGGTGGCATGGCATCATGGCAAGGGTGGTGGCATGGCATCATGGCAAGGGTGGTGGCATGGCATCATGGCAAGGGTGGTGGCATGGCATCATGGCAAGGGTGGTGGCATGGCATCATGGCAAGGGTGGTGGCATGGCATCATGGCAAGGGTGGTGGCATGGCATCATGGCAAGGGTGGTGGCATGGCATCATGGCAAGGGTGGTGGCATGGCATCATGGCAAGGGTGGTGGCATGGCATCATGGCAAGGGTGGTGGCATGGCATCATGGCAAGGGTGGTGGCATGGCATCATGGCAAGGGTGGTGGCATGGCATCATGGCAAGGGTGGTGGCATGGCATCATGGCAAGGGTGGTGGCATGGCATCATGGCAAGGGTGGTGGCATGGCATCATGGCAAGGGTGGTGGCATGGCATCATGGCAAGGGTGGTGGCATGGCATCATGGCAAGGGTGGTGGCATGGCATCATGGCAAGGGTGGTGGCATGGCATCATGGCAAGGGTGGTGGCATGGCATCATGGCAAGGGTGGTGGCATGGCATCATGGCAAGGGTGGTGGCATGGCATCATGGCAAGGGTGGTGGCATGGCATCATGGCAAGGGTGGTGGCATGGCATCATGGCAAGGGTGGTGGCATGGCATCATGGCAAGGGTGGTGGCATGGCATCATGGCAAGGGTGGTGGCATGGCATCATGGCAAGGGTGGTGGCATGGCATCATGGCAAGGGTGGTGGCATGGCATCATGGCAAGGGTGGTGGCATGGCATCATGGCAAGGGTGGTGGCATGGCATCATGGCAAGGGTGGTGGCATGGCATCATGGCAAGGGTGGTGGCATGGCATCATGGCAAGGGTGGTGGCATGGCATCATGGCAAGGGTGTTGGCATGGCATCATGGCAAGGGTGGTGGCATGGTGATGTCTCCCACTCACACTCGTCTCACCATTCATCCCACTGCCTTTCCCTCGTCCTCTTCCTCCCAGGCTCTCACGGCTGCTCATTGCCAATCCTTCTCTCACCCCCTCCTTGCCCTCCCCCGCAACCACCTTCAGGACACGCTGTACGTGCATGGCGGGCGGCAGTACTATCGCAACTGCTACGTGAACGGGTCGGTGGACTTCGTGTTTGGCAACGGTGTGGCCGTGCTGGACAACTGCACCTTCCACATCCGCCCGCACAGCAACGCGCCGTTGACAGCGTCGGCGCGCACCAACTACACGGAGAACACAGGCATCGTCATCCTCAACTCCAACATCCAGGGCGACCTCGTCAACAAGGCCTTCCTGGGACGGCCCTGGAGGGCCTATGCGCGCGTGGCTGTCATCAACACCACCATCAGTAATGTGGTACGCCCCCCTCCCTCGCTCTCCTCCCCCCTCCACGCCCATGTCCCCGTTCTGCACATGTGCTGCCACCACCACCCCGCTCACCCACTGTGCATGCCTTGCTCTTGCCTTGCGCTGGCAGCTGAACACCACTGGCTGGCTGGACTGGTCGGGCACCGTGTACAATACGACGACTTACATCGAACAAGGCAACACTGGGCCGGGCTCTACTGGGCCGCGCATTGCATGGGCGCTGCCGGGCATTGTGAGCGACCCCGCCCTCGTGGCCATGTACTACCCTGATCGCTTCCTCACGCCCTTCGCCAGCATCCTCGACCTCATCCCCTTCCCCTGGACTTGACTCCACACACCTGCCAAGCCAAGGCTTCCCTTGTGGACAGAGGAGATGTGGGGGCTTCCGCTAAGTATGCACAACAAATTCCAGTAAAGAAGGGCATGGTGTGGTCCTACAACCGGGGAGACTTAGGGATCGTATAATGTTGCTGCTTTATTCCTGAAGCCTGTTGTTGTGTTAACATTACAGTATCCACCTGGTGTTGTGATTTAGGAAGTGTCTATCAGAATGAATAAGTGAACTAGAATGTGCGAGTACAAGGGTATATAGACTAGGGTATTGAACCCTCTAAGGCACAATCCATTATAGTCTACAGCGACAACCTAAGTTGCATTTGGCACCCCCTAAACTAAATAGGGCAAGTAACTAACAGGGAAAGTAACAGCTCAGGGCGACACTACTAATCCAGCCTTTGAGGCAAGGGTCTAAAGACCAGTCAAACGTGTACAGACAAGACTAGCAAGACCAGGGCATCACTACTAGTCCAGCCACTGGGAGAGGCCACAAGGCTAGTCACGGTAAAATATATATATAAAGGACAGTACAAGGCCAATGCCCTAGTAAGTGAGAGGTTACAGGAACGAAACCTAGCTGTACACAGTACCGCTAATGATCTTTAGGCGCAAGCGCCTTCGTAAAGATAACAGCTGTGTTGGCACCGGAGGCCAAGTGTACTACGCGAGCCTGGCGGCGCTGCTGCAGCTCACGCAGGAGGAAGTACCGAAGCTGGATGTGCTTCGCTCTGCCCTCGAGTCGAGGCTCCTGACACAGGAGGATCATGGCCCTGTTGTCAGCGTACAGGTCCGGGGCAGAGCTAGGCCGCTCACCTAAGTCAGTGACCAAGAAAGTCAGCCAGCGGAGCTCCTGTGCCGCCATGGCACCGGCGTAGATCTCGGTCTCACAGCTAGACTGGGCAACACACGAGGAGCGGGTAGCTCTACACGAGACGGCACCTGAACCAAGGCTGAAGCAGTAGCCCTGCGAGGACCACAGGGTCTCGGCGTCGTCTGCCCAAGAAGCGTCTGTGTGTTCAGTAAGGACCACTGGCCTGCGTCCTCCTAGCACTAACCCCATGCCCGATGTGCATGCAAGATAACGCAAAACCCTCTTAGCGGCAGACCAGTGCTGAGGTCGGTGTGTGCCTGGAGCCACAAAGCAAGCCAGGATGCTGAGAGGGTATGCGAGATCTGGGCGAGTGCAAGTCATCAGGTACATGAGGCAACCCACTAGCTCTGCGTAAGGACCACTGGGCTCTACTGACTCCTTAGGAACTGGAACCGAGAGGCTATGGTCTAGAGGCAGAGGAGTGGGCTGTGCGGAGGAGAACTGAAGGCCGAACCTCTCAAGGACCTGGCGCACCAAGTGTGACTGAGTCAAAGTGATGGTGCGCGCTGCTCTGTCCCTGGAGATCTGCAAGCCCAGGTAGTGGCGCAGTTCTCCAAGGTCAGTGCAGGTGTGTCTCTTCAGCAGCTGTGCCTTCACGGAGGCTAGTGCGTCCCTGTCTGCTGTGGCGAAGATCAGGTCGTCTACGTAAACAAGGATATAGAACGGGGTCTGGCCAGCACGAACGAAGAGCGAGGGGTCTGCAGAGGTCGGAAAGAACTGCAGCTCAGCAAGCGTAGCACGCAGCGCGTCGTGCCACTCACGGGGCGCCGCAGGAGCCACTGGGTCCTAGGAGGGAAGGTACCAGTGAAGCCCTGAGGGCGGCGCAGGTAGACCTTCTCGTGTAGACTACCCTGAAGAAACGCAGTGGAGAAGTCGAGGGAGTGAAGCTCGTAGACACGCTGAACTCCTACGTGTAGTAGCACCCGAAGAGTAGTCATCTTCGGGGTCGGAGCGAAGGTTTGGAAGAAGTCCACCCCCTCACGCTGACTGAAACCTCTAGCTACGTAGCGCGCCTTGAACACAGGCGGCTCTCCAGGAGGGCGCTTCACCTTGAAGAGCCAGCGGACATCGACTACGTTCACCCCAGGTGGGGGAAATGCGTCAACATAGGTGCCGGTGGATCTCCAAGATGCCATCTCTTGCTCCATGGCAGCTATCCACTGCGAGGCCCAGGGTCTCGAGACCGCCTCAGCGTAAGTGTGAGGGTTCGGGATGTCGAAAGCGTCGGGGTCACCCTCAGGGACTAGAAGCATGGAACAGAGATGGGGAGCAGCCTCGAGCAGGAAAGCAAGCTCGTACTGGCGGTCCTCCAGGACGTCACTGCCAAGGGCAGGAGCACCCCCGACAGACGGAGGATAGGCAGGGTCAGAGACCAGAGCGGTGGCGTAGTCAAGGCGGCGGGTAGAGGCAAAGTCAGCAACCGCAGCGACAAGGGCGTCAAGGCTCGAAACCGGAACAGACGGGTCGGTAACGAGAGAGGCAAGGACCCGAGGAACAAGAGGACGAGCGGCACGCAGGTAGTCAGACATAGGGGGGGACGCAACGACAAGGGAGGATGGAGGGGGCGACGGGAGAAGGGGAGGACGAGACGCGTGGGAACGAAGCAACATAGGGTGAGAGCGCGAGACAGGGGAGATAGGTCGAGCATGGGAGGGACGGCGAGACCAAACGTAAGACGGAGGAGTCGCGTCAGGAGAAAGAGGAGGGGACACAAGAGGGGAACGAGGGGGGAAACGGGCCGGGGACGAGTCCGGAGGAGGGAACACAGGGCCGTAGACAGGAGGAGGAGGATGCACAAGCATGGGTTTAGGGGAAGGAAGGCCGAGCAGGCGAAGAGCGGACACCGGCGGGGATTGCTGCAGCGACGATAAACACCGACACCGGGATCGCAAGCTGCCTGGCGGCTACCACCACGCGAGCACCCCCAGAAGGAACACCCCCAGAGCTCAGAACCCCTCGAGCACCGGTACCACCCCCAGGCCCGCCGGGACAAGCCACGACAGGAGTCCCAGGACTAGTACCCACCCCAACTCCAGCACCCCTAGAGGCAACCAACTGCTGCGGCGACGGCTGCGGCGGTGGCAGATGCAATGACGGCTGCAGCGGCGGCGGCGGCAGTGACGACGGCTGCGACAGCGGTGGCGACAGCGGCTGCGGAGGCGGCGGAGGAGGAGACACGTGAGAAGGGGCAGGCGGCGAGGACTGCGCCGCAGGACCACCAGAGTCAGCAGACTCCTCAACCGGGACAACCGACGTAAGTGGGGTGACGTGGGACACACCAGAGGGGGCAAGACGGAGAGGGGGAGGAGGAGGGGCGGCGACGACCGGGCAAGGGGTGACCAGGAACAGAGGGGGGGTAACCGTGGGACCTCAGTGGGGGAAGTGGCGGAAGAAGGAGACGGACTTGTCAAAGGTGACGTTACGGGAGTGAAAGAACCGGTGAGACGGCGGGTGGTAGAAGTGCCAGTCAGACGTGTCAAGGGGGAAGCCGAGGAAGACATAGGGAAGGGTGCAGGCAGTGAGCTTGTCCGTGCCAGAGGCACGAACGTGAGCAAGGCAGGCCCAGACGTGGAATGCAGTCGCGTCACCAGGTGACCCAGACCAGAGGAGGGTCGGCGAAACCTGAGGCTGCTGGGGGTGCGGCCACAGGTTAAGCTGGTGAGCGGCGTAGCGAACAACGAACGGCCACAGGAAATGGGGTGCCCCGGCATGGATCATGGAGGTGCGAGCCACCTCCATGACCAAACCGATACGTCGCTCAGCGACCCCATTCTGCTGTGGGGAGTCCGGCAAGGTGAACGTCTGGGTGATGCCCTCCGCACGACAGAAACGACCAAGGACACCAGAGGCAAACTAGCCACCATGGTCGGAGTGGAGACGCAAGATAGGGAGACCGCGGTGGACACGCGCAGAGACAAGCCACGGGATAAGAACGGCAGGCACGTCGGCCTTCTGCTCCAAGGGGAACACAGTGGTGTAGCGCGTGTAGTCGTCGACAAGCACTAGGAAGTAGCGCTCTCGACGCGGCCCATGGACGGGGGCGGGGCTCCAGACGTCCATGTGCAGAGTCTGTAGCGGTGCAACAGTAGGGGGAAACGAGGAGGAGTGAGGGGCACGGCGGAGCCGGCCCTCGACGCAGGGCGTGCAAGGTGGGGCTCGGGAGGAGGGAAACTCGGGGAACGACCCGGGGATGCCTAGGACGAGACCGTGCTGTGACATGTGACGCAGACGCGGGAGCGCAGGGTGACCTAGGCGGTGGTGCCAGAGAAGAGTCGGGTGAGTGAGAGACCGACAAGAGCAGGCAGCAGCAACCGGGGGAGACGCAGTCACCTGAGGGGGGGTCCCAGCTGGGGGGATTCGCCGTGTCCAGTGTGAAAAGACCGGACGCCAGGTCCCGTGGGAACGTGGACAGGGGGGCACCAGTGGCGGCCTCGGTACAGACAGCGTACCGCTCGTGTCCAGGGAACGTAGTGGTAACGCCAAGGTCCTGAAGACAGCCGACACCAATTAGGTTCCTGGAGAACGAGGGGATGTGCAGACTTGTGAGCGAGCCCGAAGGAACCGCCGGGCAGGGGAGGGTGGTGGAACTGCAGGTGACAACTGGGCCGGAGGAGGGGTCAGGAAGAGAGACTGCGGCAGGGACAGGAAGCGGTGTCAACATGGTGGAGTCGCGGAAGAAGCACCGGGAAGCGCCTGAGTCGAGGGTGAAGGAGAGCGCGGCAGTGGCGGCCGGAGGCGAAGCAGCGACGGAAGCACCAAGGCTAAGCAAAGTAGGGGATCCTACGCTTGACGCAACAGGGGAGTCTAAAGAAGGCACACCTACGCTAGGCAACAAGGGGTAATAAGACAGAAGCACACTAGAGTCATCAGTATACATTACATGCAGAGCAGTAACAATCTCATCCATATCCAGATAAAAAATCTGAACCCTACGACGAAGCAGACTGTGCCAGTCTGGGAGCTCGGGTGACGGGCCGAAACGCTGACGAAACAGGTCGTCCAGGCGACGGAAACAGCGGACGGAGGTGTGACCGATCTTCCCGCACACGAAGCCACGGCAAGGACCGGTCTGGAGTAGGTACTGGCAGCGCGCGTCACCCGAACCACCACTCGGCAGCCCACCACGCGCACCGCCACCACATCCAGCGCTACCACCAGCGCCAGGCCACTCGGGCGGGAGACCACTCGCCCGTCTCTGCTGCGGTTGCGACTGCTGCGGCTGCCGCGACTGCTGCGACTGTTGCGGCTGCCGTGACTGCTACGACTGCTGCGGCTGCTGCGGCTGACGCGAGTCCGGCTGCAACGCCGGCGGCTGCTGAGACGACTGCTCGGCTACACCTGGCAGGGTCCCCTCATCCGCACCACCACCAGGAGACCCAGCT